TTAATGTAGAGATTTGCTGCGAAAAGGTGTGAGGCAGGCGCTGACATATATATATATATATCACGAAAGCCAGCTGGTAGGCTGGGCTTGAGGTTGTTGGAGCGAACGAAGTGAGTGAAGGGGGTGTGGGGGGGGTGGTTGCGTGGTGGCTACTTTTCGGAGAGGTGAACCCAGAGCCTGGTGGGGGAGAGCGACAAAAAGAGGCGGGCCACTTGGTAGTGAAAAATGAGTGGTTTGAGGGGTGTTGTGATGCCGGTGATGTAATTGACGGCGCATCATCAGCATCACGAGGGGCTCAGGAGGCCATTGAAAGAGCACAGATTGTAGTGTTGCGGCTAGGCTTAGCGTTGCTGTCGGACTGATGCGGGCCCTCCCTATGTGGTGGGAGTTCACGTGGAATGGGGGCTGTTATGGTTGTTGAAGGCAGGAGAGAGAAGAGATGGCACCGAGCAACCGTTGGAGCCGCAGGTGAAATGGGGCTTCGCCTCCAATGCTTGCTCGCTGCCATCTCTTCTCTCTCCTGCCTTCAACAACCATAACAGCCCCCCATTCCACGTGAACTCCCACCACATGGGGAGTGCCCTCTTCAGTTCGGTGCTCTCGCAGGCCGTGAAAAATGGCATCATGCGCCCCATGTGGGGTGCCCTTTTCAGTGCAGCAACTAGACCTTGCTACGGACAAAAAAGGGCACCCCTACGCTATTCAGCACCTTCTGTCTCCGACGCTTGCCCGCTGCAATCGCTTCTCTCTCCTACCCCCAGCTTTATGACATACCTCTATGGCATCATGGACCTGTGGGGTGCCCTTTTCAGTCCAGCAAGTGTTTCTACACAGATATATATATATATATATATATCACCTACCCTACCCATTGCCTCGCGAACCCCCACCGCCGTCTCTGCTCACTGATTCGCAACATGCCGCCGGCAATGGGTAGGGTAGGGACCAGAGCGAAAAAGGGCACCCCCCCAGACCCTATGTCTTCTACTTTCCATTTCTACCCCTTATCGGTGTGGCTGCGATGTCAACTTCGCCCCATAACATTACTCTTTGCCCGATGTTACCCTATCACTTCCTCTTGCACGCCAAGTCTTTGCCCTGGCCTACCCCGAGACTCTGAGAGCACCCCCTAAGCCAGAGGCTGGCTTTCGTCCCCTCCCTTCTCAGGTATATACAAAGGATATAATTCTGTTTTGCATTTGCATCTGAGAAGGACCGGCTCTTCCCGAAGGTTGGCCGCCGAAAGACCGAAACATCACGAAGACAGGCTGCCCACCTTGCCATCGGTCCTTTTTCAGCATATCACTCCGATACGGACGTGGCGTCCAGGACGGCTTCCGGATACTTGTGGTCTAGCTTTTGACGGTATCTCAGGAGGCTACATGAATGGAGCCTTGCTCTGAGTTTCGCTGAGTCAGACTTGTGAGTCGAAGAAGATGGTCGAACTGCGACTTTAGGCACTTCTCCTGTGCAACTATATAATGACATGTGAGTATTCGGTCCTCGAATGGCTTGTTGAGCTAGGGCTCAGATTTTTGTGATCAACCGAAGACCCAGCTGCCCATCTTCGATGTTCAGCAGCGGATCGCGTGTTTCTGTTGGTATTTGGCAGACCGTGGTGCCCTCGTTTTTTGTGCCACCTTCAGCCTCCTTTTTGGGGAGTCCCCCAAACACAGCCAGCGGTGCGGAGGCGTTCTTTTATTTTTTCGGGCCTGGGTCTTTGCTAGACAAGGTGGTTCTGTGTCCCAGGACCAAGCTCTCGATTCCAGGCCGTTCAGGCAACGGCCAAGTCCGCCACATTGTTGTGAGGCACAGACATATTCCTTCACTCAGGAGGTGATTGGAAATACTATGAAATACTCATGTTTCGACGGGATGGACAGTGTGAGTGACCAATGAGGTTCACGGCAATGCTGTTGACAAGCACAGTGTGGGAATGCCCGCTTTTTGACCCAACAGCACAGGGACATGCCAAATTGGTTCCCGTTCCTTGAGCTCAAAGCCCACAGCCAAGGACATTCAAACAACGGCGGCGTTGAGGAGTCGAAACTCTTGATGCGGGCATTCTGGAAACTGTCTGATCAGCTCAATGGCATGTCCGTAGATGCCTTCAAGGAGCTTGTAGCAGATCTTGTTGCAGAACTGCAGATAGTTGCTGACTTTGGGAGACGAACCCGTTGAGGATTGAAGTTTTTCTTTGCAGAGGATCCCTTTGTTTTTCCAACCAGAGCTACATCTACAGGAAATCCAAGCCAGAGGTCTTGCAAACGGATTCCTTACTACTTGTAGCGTCATTTGTAAACCGCGCTGAGGCTTCACGCATTGCCGCTTGGCAAATTAGTTATGTGGTAAAGCCGTTGATGTTGACAACATCGATTTGAGCGCTACACAGGGCATCCCCAAGGAAAGAATTGCTTTTTGAGAACCCTTTCAAAGACCCTGAAATGAACCACCTCTCGAGAACTGTAGGACACGGTAGTCATTTAGTCTTAGTCTGAATTCTACCTGGCCAATTGCTCGCTCGCTCGCTGCAAATGAGTTTGTGAGGATTGGTATATGAGTTTGGACAGCCTGGAACATCAAGATGCATTTGAGGGTCCGGCGCTTTTGATCTTGGTCCAAGACTGCGCAGAAGCAGAGTCGATCATCGAGAGCAACGCTCTGCAGCCTGGCATGACGCGGCAGGACCGAGTCTGCTCCTATTTGGAATCTAGAGTCTACAAGCTGGGGACAATCGATTATTCAAGTCCATTATATACAGGAAAACGTGATGTTTCATGATTTGTCGCCAGCCCATCCTTGACAGATTGCAACTGATAGTTGTTGCTGCGAAGACCTCGGAAATCCGCCCAAGCCCATTGACTATCTAAGCGTTTTTCTTGAATTATTGCCCCCTATCAGCCCAGCATATCTGAGGTATTGCACTCAACTGGAAGTCGCTGAAACGAACGGCGAGCACCTTAGTCGTGGCCGGAACACTACATGGTGACATGCGTCCTTCAGTAGGAAGCCTCGGCTAAGTGTGCCACCGGTGTTGCCACGTGATTTGTTCTTGCAAAAATAACAAGGCATTGTTTGTACTGTCGGCCTAGAGGATGCTACTAGGAGCAAAGGGCATCGCTACTAGGCGCAAGGACGCTACTAGGGGCTCCTGGCCTTACTACTAGGAGCAAGGACGCTACTAGGAGCTTTTTCAGCTCGCTCCAACATTGCAAGTCTGAGGCGACCAACACAGTTGTATGTCTCTCGCATGCAGAGTGATGGGTGCATACGGGATGATGGTGATTGAGGTTGGCCCCCTTGGAATCGCATCAGCCAGTTGCGCTTGAATTCTCCGACTTCAGTGATTTACGAAAGCCATAAGCGTTTGACACAGGACAGAGGATAAACCCACAGACAGCTGTAGCCCCATGTTCGCAGATGCCAGAGAGGGTGGTGCATTTGCAGTACAAGATTGAAGGAAGTGGAGGGACCTCGATGTGTTTTGCATCCACTTCAGACCTCCGGCTTGCAGTTCCACATTGTAAGGGTTCTCGAAGCTTCCAGAGGCCCTTTGATAATACCGTCATTGCACTTGCACTCAGGCATCAGGGCAACGTGAAATCCTTGGCTGTGGCTTGGAATGCGCTGGATTTCACGCTAGCGTTTGGTAGACCCACCCTTTTGCGGGAGGTCTCGTTTGACATTCAAACTGCATTCTGTTTAGACAAATGAGAACATGGACACACATGGACCACTGAACAGAGTGAGGAAAACAGGAATGCAATCACACTTGAAGCAATGGAGAACAAGAATAGAATATCATTATCGAGCATATATGAGCAACAAGGATCAACATAGCAAGTCGTGTTGTTCGAACCACGACTTAAAGGACTCCATTCCTTATGCACGACATGAAGGACTCCAGCCGCGATGTTTCGTCGAAGAAGGCGTGAAGCTGAGGCCCAGATCTTGAGCTGGCAGGCGCACGGGACAAAACGTGCAGTTAGAGGTGATCCAGTGATCCAGTCCTGATGATGTTTCCATATTTTTCCAATATATCCAGTCCTGATTTTTCTAAATGTCGGGCAAATGTCCTGGCGGTCCTGACATTCCTGGTATCATGGACGGTGAAACCAATGTGAAAACCTTTTTTGGATTCAGAAAACGCACCTCAGCGAGGCTACTCCCCGCGCCGCCCTGATGTGTCACAAGACTTGAGATATAAGCCACTCGAGACAAGAAGACAGGTACTCAGTCGACTCAATGACCTTCTAATTATTACTATTGTCTAGGGGTGCACCAATTTGTACTCAGCTGAACGACAGGTGTACAGACCAAATTGATTCCACTAGCCACTGACATGCCAAACAGTCACAATGCATCAACATGCCAATGACAATGGATGCTCCTCGACATCGAAACGCATGTCCAATGCTGCGCAGGAGAAGTATCCGCCAAAGGTTAGAAGCGATAGGTTATTGTGCGACATCGTTCAATAGAGTGCGCTTGTCCCATTTTTTGCTTCGGAGACAACTGCAAACAAGAAGCTACTAGGAGCAAGGACGCTACTAGGGGCTCCTGTCCGGGAGACGCATCAAAAAAAGAAATATAAATGCATCAATAAAAAAATATAAATGCATCAAGAAAAAATAAAAATGCATCAATAAAAAAATAAAGAAAAGAAACAAAGAAAGGCAAGAAGGCAAGGAAGGAAGGAAGGAAGGAAGGAAGGAAGGACGGAAGGAAGGAAGGAAGGAAGGAAGGTACGAAGCCAGGACGGAAGGAAGGAAGGAAGGAAGGAAGGAAGGAAGCAAGGAAGCAAGGAAGGATGGATGGAAGGAAGAAAGGCAGCAAGGCAGGAAGGAAGGTTCGCTTTCGGTGGCTCTTGGGTTTTGGTGGCTTTTGCCTTTGGTTTTCGATGGCTTTTGTAGGTGGCCCGCTTGCGGAGCTGTGCTGCCTGCAATGGCAAGTGTTGTCATGTATTCTATGTTAATGCATTGTTTGATGCATCTATGTATTCTATGTTAATGCATTTTTTGATGCATCTCCCAAAAAACACACACAACAACAAGGACCACTTTTGAACTCCTGTTCTATCCCCCATTTGGCCAGCTACTCAGCGAGCCAGCTTACGGACCTGTGCTGCCTGCAGTGGCCAGGAAAGCTGCAAGTTGACTCACCCTTTGTTGCGCCACCCGAGGGTAAAATTTGGAGAAGAATGTTGCCATTTCAACTTGACTCACCCTTTTGCGCACAGGGTAAAATTATGAGAAGGAAGTGGTCACTCCAACTTGACTCATCCTTTTGTGGCCAATGCGGGGTAAAATTTAGAGAGGGAAGCGGCCATGCCGAGTTGACCCACCCTTTTGTGGGCCACGCAGGGGTAAAATTGAGAGAAGGATGTTGCCATTTCAACTTGACTCACCCTTTTGTGGGCCATGCGGGGGTAAAATTTAGAGAGGGATGTTGCCCTTCCAAGTTGACTCACCCTTTGGTGAGCCACCCGAGGGTAAAATTGTGAAAAGAAGTTGCCATTTCAACTTTCAACTTGACTCACCCTTTTGTGGGCAGGGTAAAGTTTAGAAAAGGAAGTGGTCATTCCAAGTTGACTCACCCTTTGGTGAGCCACTGGAGGGTAAAATTTAGAGAGGGAAGTGGCCATGCCAAGTTGACTCACCCTTTTGTGGGCCATGCAGGGGCAAAATTTAGAGAAAGATGTTGCCACTTCAACTTGACTCACCCTTTTGTGGGCCATGCAGGGGGATCAATTTAGAGAAGAATGTTGCCCTTCCAAGTTGACTCACCCTTTGGTGAGCCGCCCGGGGGTAAAATTTAGAGAAGGATGTTGCCATTTCAACTTGACTCACCCTTTGTGGGCAATGCAGGGGCAAAATTTAGAGAAGGAAGTGCTCATTCCAAGTTGACTCACCCCTTGGTGAGCCACTGGAGAGTAACAAAAATAGACAAGGAAGTGGCTATTCCAAGTTGACTACCCTTTTAAGTGAGCAACGCAGGGTGAAATTTGGAATACGCAGCAACATTCGGGAAAGGGCCTGTGTGCGCACTTGACTCCCCATGGTGGGGTGTGCGCACGCTGAGTTAACAAGTGTGTGCGCAGATGAGGCACAAGTGCCGATAAATGTGTGTGCGCAGTTGAGTTGAATCCGTGTGCGCGGCTGCGGCGCCGCCCTTCTGTAAGCCACCCGAATGTACAGTAGTAAAGGTTAGAGGGCAGAAAGCCATTCCATTCTAGCACGCCAGTAAAATTTTGGAAGAGCTGGATCTGAACCTCTGCAAGATTTTGTGGGTCTCTAGACTCTACACCTTTACACTAGATCTGTCTGGATGTCGAGGCCTTTGGATCTTTGTAGATGTAGGCGTCCTGTTCTCAACCGTGACCTCTTGAATCTCCAAAACCTGAAACACCTTATCTTTTGAATTCTTGGCAATTTCGAACCGAACACAGAGGGCAGAGGCCGACCGTTGTAGTGGATAGGTTGGTCTCGACCCAAGGGCCCTACAGGACAATCCAAGGTATCCGTGTAGGTTGATTTAGTTTTTGTTTTTTTTTGATGCGTTTTTGTTTTTCTTTTGATCACTGCTTCGAGTTGGACTATTGCGCTTCCCTCCACTCGTTTGGGTCCGTTTATTTTTTTATTGATTCATTTTTGTTTTTTCTTGATACCCTGAATTATATTTGTTTTTTGATGCATTTTTATTTTTTTTGAGCCCTTGCCCCTCCTGGCATCGCTTCTAGTAACAAGTGCCTTACTAGTAGTAACAAGGACGCTACTAGAAAGTGTTGCCTCAAAACATCTCAAAACAATGCCTACGCCAGTCATCTTGAGAACTGGTCAGCCAGTGGTGCCAGCCAGTGGGACAGAGTCCAGTCGTTGCATGTCTACTAGTTAGTTGGGTTCAGGTGTGGTCATTGATTCTTATCATGGGACTAGATGCGCAGCTGACATAGGCTATAGGCTATAGATACTGTAGATAGCTGATGATAGTTTGATAGCTGCATGTCCTTTCGCTCCGACTCGGATGATCTTGAGTTGCCTATGCAGCTGATGACATAATCACTCTTGTCCTACCGATGCTACCCAGATGGAGCAGTGAGGACCAATGACCAACTTAGGTCAACAAGTCCATTCTGGGGTTGTAAGTGCCGCAGCTGGGCTTTTGTGATCATGCAGATTCAGAACCGATGTGGTTGCTGAAAGAGAATGACATCTATGATGCAAAGCCTTGTATTTCTTCTTCCATATTGATACCAGGGCAGGGATTATTCCATATTTTACACATCATGGCTTGGTTCAATTGGTCCTGATTGAATCAGCCTGATCGCTTTGTGTATACATCGATCAACAGTGTATCGATTTGCCATTTCCAACCCTGTACAGGGCATGGCAATCGAAGAGTCTATAAAAAGAGTCTTGGTGAGATGTTGACATGTGACATGCATTGACATGCTGATATACATGCAAAAAGAGGCTTAGTGAATGGAGAAGAAACAACATCTTGGAATGTGGACCGGGGCGAATAGCCAGTTTTGGTTGTGCCGCATTTTGCCTGGTCAGGTAATGCTTCTTTGCAGCTGTTTGCCTCTGTAAACAGCACTTCAATTGATACAACCAACCACCGGACCATTGTGAAACAATCACGCGACATGAGGATTGACAAAAATATATACTGCAGAAAAAGGTCACCAAATTTAGGTGAGTAACATTGAGCTATATACATAGGAAGATTTGGTGAGATACCTATGTCCATCCTCAATCAGCCCAATGCACGGTCATTGACCGATACTGGGATGCAACTTATTACACATGCATGGCAACATTCATTTGGTGCGCGAAGACCAACATCTACTTGCTTAGTAGCATGTTCCATGCAGTGCATGCTTAGATGGCCACTGACCAGGGTGTTTTGCAACTGTTGTGTAATTTTTGTTATGTCAATGTGGTATCGAGGGTTCCTGAGAGCCTGCAAACATTCTGGATGCATCTGAATTAGAGCCGCCAGCCGCACTTTGGCGTGCCAATTCGGCCATGGAGGCTTGCTGGCCGTTGAGTATTTGTTTTGTGAACTTATTATTGCAGAGAGCTGTTACGCAGCCGGTATTGCTTGAATTACAGTAGAGTTTCTTAGGCTATCAGGTGGTAAATCCTTTTAACAGCGAAGACTAGGAAAGGGTGAGCCAAACTGCCAAGGGACAGGTTCTTCCTGCTAGTGTCCTTCTGTGAGCTCTAAGAGCTTCCAAATGGCACCCATTTCGAAGGCCGAGATTGAAGCTCTCAGACGGGAAAGAGAGGACAAGGCGGGCGGGCTCCGTGGGCTCCGTCTCCAAACAGTTTGACACCTCCTCCGTGCTGTCGTGTGCGGTTTGGAGTTCAAAACCCATCAAAAGCCCAAACCTCTTTGACGTGGCCGCCACGTCAACACTTTTTTTTATTATTCATGTTTTGAAAGCAATGGGTGAAGGAGAGGCAAAAGGCTGCAGAGGCGTACAAGGATTGACAAGTTGAACTTGAAGCGCCCACTTCAGGACATAAATACATCGTGAGTGCAAAAATCAATGGCATAACATGAGTGCGTGAAAGCTTTTCTTGTTTTAGCCAATGTCCAGATTCGACAAATCGCGGAGAAGCGCAAGCAGGTGGGGCTGGCAGACAAGATTTTCAAGCTCTAGACACACTAAGAGCGGGGCTTGTCTCCTCTTGCAGCACCCAATATCCAGAACATTGGAAGAGATCAGGTGCTCAGATACAGTCAAAGATCATTGACATGACATCCTTTTTTTTTTTGCACAGGCATTCCAACGGATCAGCTCAAGAGTGGAGACCCCTCCTTCTTTCCAGAAGAGGATGAATAGAGTTTGGGTGGTGTCAGGAGGAGAAGTTGAACCATGTGGAACCCCTGAACATCCACAACTTACAAAGAGATACAAAGAATGCTTCTGTTGAGCCTTGTGGCCGTGAACACGTGGCTTCTGTTGAGGTCGAAGAGCTGCGGAAGAAGCGTAGTGAACGTGCCTCGCTGAAAACGAGCCAGGCCGAAGAGGGTCGTCAATTTCGGGTCGAAAGGGCTACACGGTCTATATTATCCATTTTCGCCACAAGCCAAATTCTGCGGTCTCCCATGGTCTCCCAATGATAATTTGATGCCCCTAACACATCCTAACACTGCCCGCCCCCCTCAACAACTCACTCATGTGTCCGACTCGTGTACGAAGTGAAAAAGAAAGACTGTGGGTTCTTCATGACCACGCTTGGCAGTCTTCAGCAGTGCTCTATCCTGTTTCATACATCAGACGAGCATCACAATGGTTGTTATGTCGTCCCCGGACCTGGTGTCCAACGAGTCGCACCGTGTGGGATGAAATCCACCTCGTCGCACCGACGGTCGAACGTTCAGGGAGCATTGACCAGCAACGTCGACGGTCTTGTGGCCGAGATTCTGGGTGGTGCTGGAGGCGCGGGCCTCAACGGCGATAGACGCGCGAGACGCTACGCTGAAAGGACCAACGGAGCTACGGAGCACACGAAGTCGTAAGGAACATTAAGGAACTCACTGTGGGGTCCGGGGTGACAGGAAGCAAAGCAGTACTGAAGGTCCAAAGATATAACAATTGAACTCAATGGAACCTTTGTACAAGAAACGCACAGTCGCCCAATTAGATCTAAACCTTGGCTTTTTTTGTTTTTGCAGTGCGCCAAGGTGCAACTTCTTCACGTGCGTCTCCTGAAGCCCCCTTGAAGGAGCAAGATGGTGACAGTCAAGAGACATGGTGTTTTGATGAGAGACTTCTGTTTGGGCACAGGCAGACGCCTGTTTGCTGCAGAGATTGTAAAAAGGAAACACCCACATCTTCTGAAAGAAAGACACTCAAATGCCCTAGAGGGGCTCGAGCTCGATAAACATCGAGCTCAGCTCGGCTTTGCAGGAGCTGAGTGAGAAGAGCCGAGCTTCTCCACTGGGTGCGGAGCGGAGTCTGGGCGCCTAGTTGTACAAAATCCACGGATGTTGGAGGGATTGAGCTTGGTCAGAGTGTCAGATTTGTTCCGGGAGGAAAAGGCTTCTACAGACAAGTATCTACTCAGGTTAATTACGGTTAAAGGACACGCAGGAAGTGACAAGCTACAGAACATCATCAAATATGGCACAATGAGACTTCCAGGTGCGGGATGGTGCGGGACTTCATTTCTCAAATGAACTGGCATGGAAGTGGAATCTCGGGTTCACCAGCTAGGGTCCCCAAGACTTTGGATGAGGACAGATGATAAGAGAACCGACACGTCGGTTCTCTTCAAGACAAAGCAACACATGTAATTATATAAATTGATTGCGAGAACAAGGACGGGTTTTCAAGGCACCTCCTTACACTACCTCAGTGCCTGCACACTTCCATGCTTGACAGAAGAACCAGCCAGAAGACTTGACTATTGATATTATATACATTGACAACAGTTTCTGTTTCGGAAAAAGACTTTGAGCAAAGACCGCGGCACAACAGACAAGGAATCCAAACGATGCTTTGAATAAGAACCTTTGCTACTGAGAGGGAATGACTGTCGTGAGATAAAATAGACAGGAGAGACTAAAACAGAGGTTTGGGCCCTTGAAAGGGGGCCTTATTGATGGATCCTTCCTTTCTTTGCATCTTTAGAAGCCAGACTTCACTGCTCAGAGAAATGAATGAGCAGCCAGCCGCGTGAACGTGGCGGCGCAGCCATCGTTGTTATCCAACAAGTTGACGCTGTGCAAAGTTATTGAATCATATTGAATCCACTTTACAAGGCACCATTGTGCAAAGGATGTGACACGGTAACTTGCTGGCAAATGACCAGAGCATTCAAACATGTCGAATGTGGGTGAGGGTGTATATTAAAAGACCCCCAACCGATGGGGTTTGGTATGTTTTGGTCTATTTTCCCTTCTTCCTGGGGGTCTTTGGGAGGTCTACCTATTTTGTTTTGCCACCCCTTGTTGTTTGCCATACTTTGTTCCCAATCGCATCCTGGCACACTACTTTGCGACAGACGATACACGAAACGCAAGGCTTGCATTTCCAGCAAGAAGTTTCGGTTGCTGCTGCCGGGGTCTTGGACTGCTCCGGGCATGTTTGGGAGATGTCCTCAGCATCACTTTTGCTTGCATTCAGCAATATATCAGAGCTGAAAGACATATCATATCACCCTTAACGATGCAGACTGCTTTAGTTAAGCGATTGTCCAATGAGACATTTGCACATGTTTGCACCTTTTGCATAACCAAGCCGGTGAGATATTGCAGCGATTGAGCGGCAATCCAGATACGGCAAGGTGGACATTGAACCCGATGGCCACGTGTCTTACGAAAGGCTGGGCGAACATAGGTCCTACTCGTAGTTACTTGAACTTCTTACCTGTGGCCCTGTGCCGCGTTTGACTCAGTAAATCTAGCATCGAGTTAATGTCGAATCATGTTGATCGAAACAGTGCCTTGCAATAAAGCCTCAGCAACCTACCCCTACTTGAGACCTTACTTGAGAGGAAGCATCATCGCCAACAGATGTGAGAGAACACCAAATCCACTCACATTGACAACCGATGCAAGGTCCTGCCAGACCGATATGAAAGGCAGCGATGCAGTGACCTCAGGCTCACAGTCTGACAGACCAAATCGCTCAGGTGGATAACGAGTTGATGCTGGTCGAATCCACCTGAAAGTTCAAATGTGTTTCTCTGGTCAAGCCGCTTTTCAAAGTGTATTTTTTTTCCATTTTTCTCCCGCTATGAACGTTCCAATTTGGGCAAGCTGAGGTCGGCAGCGGAGGAGAGAAAAGCGCCGCTGCCGCAGGCTCCGTGTCGAAATCCTCGGCCAACGTCCTCTTGAGGGTGGTCCACTCTGGCATGCTTTTGAGCCGCTGGTTTCAGAGTCTCCTTCACTTCAAGGAAACTTTTCTGTTTGAAAGGCATGCTTTTGAGTGGGCAAAACGGGCCCAAAGACGTAACAAAACGTCGCACACAGCTCGAGATCGGCGTTTTGACCCGTTGAAACAGGGAGAAGAATGAAAGCAACACGTGGTTTGGACCGCCAGGCCGATCGAGCGAAGAATCGGGTCCTCACCGGCACCACGGCCAGTGTGCAGGACTTAGGATCGTAGTGATTTGGATGTCTTCACAAAGCAGCCTGTCTGGCTTCCCAAAGCGAGTGGTTCTGTTATGAACAAAGCGACTGGCCAAGTAGACTGAGTGGTCTGGGGTGTAGAGATATGATGGACTCGACGATGGTTGTGTGTCTCCATGGCTCGCCATTCAGGAGGAGCGGCGGCTGAAGCGAGCCGCTGGGCAAGAGGTTCCTTGCCTTGGAAACGGTTCCCAAGCAGAAACATGCGGAGCATGGCCGCTGGAAGTCCGACCAAAGGTGACAAGGCCCACAAGACAGCCAAATGGATTCTGTTTGAGAATCTATTTGGCTGTTTAATATGTTTAATGGTATTTCAAAATGTCAGAGGCTAAAGTGCAGGTCTCTCCATTGGAACCAGAGTGTAATGTAATATGTTAAAGCATGCTAGAACCTAAGAGAGATCCAGGCAAACCATTTGCGGAATGCACTACGACAAGGCTTTATGCTTCTTTTGGCCTGACTAACGGACTTAGATCCTCCACATTCCTCCACCCTAAGAAATGTCAAATCTAAATTCTTTCTTTTTGCACATGACTGACTTTGGTTCCTCAAAGAATCTTGAATGATTACAGTAATTATATTCAGATTGATGGGACTAAGCCAGGCCAAAGCTGATGCCGAAAGACCAGAGATCAAGGCCGAAGACTCACCATGAACTCAGGTGGTTTCGTTAGATGCATTTGCTCTTTCCGAAATCAGAGAGCACTGCGTGTTTTCTTTGTGCTACAAGGACAAAGGCGATACTACATGATACTACTAGTATAGAAACTAGACCCGGCCCATGTCGTTTTTTGGTGTGTATATATATATATATAATAAGTCTGTAAGTTATAGTTATCCAATATATGTGTACAATATAATGTGAAGGTTCTTCAAGGAAGCGAAACCTCCTTGAAGAAATTCGGGTTTCGTCCTTACTTTTGGACTCACCACTACAGAGCCAGCCTTACATTCTTCTAGACTGACTCTCCCAAAAAGTTCACTGCTTCACTGCTTACTCCCTCTTCATGCCCTCGTACTCGACACCTGACGTACTCGACACCTGTGGGTCAGGAACTTTCCGAGGAGGACTGAACTGTTGGGAGATGGCAACGACGCTGAAACAAATCGTGGAGATGAGAAATCTTCTGATGAAGCCTGAAACAACTTGGGAGAACGCAAGACAACGAGCTTTTTGACGCAAGGAACAGCATGCAATGCGTTAACGTCTCTTCACATAGATCACATACGACGTACAAGTTGCCACGGGACAAGTCTACTACGGGGTATGCAATTTCCTTGACCAAAAGTTGACGACACTTTGTCTTTATGCCTGAACAGGAATGGGAGCAGAGTAGATGGAGTAAACTGTGAACACGTTGTCACTTGTGGGTTGGGCAAGTTGCGAACGTTGACTTCTTCTTCGGGGTACTGTCCAGGAGCGCAAGAAGTTAGAGGGGCATCCAGACTACAAAGCGTTGGACATCTCAGCAGGGAAGTTCGGGCAAAGATGGTTGAACAGTTGAACATGTTTCCTTCGGGTTCCGCTCAAAACGGAAAGCAAACCTGACCAAACCTCTGCTAGGCAAGTGTGGATCATTGCATGTGATGTGATATTGTACGCACTGCAAGGGGCCTGTCATGCAATCAATATGTTGATAATTTTGGTCCCCAGGGTAGGAAGATGAGAAGAGAGAGGAGAGAGAGAGAGAGAGAGGAGACAAATAGAGAGACAGAGAGGGAGAGAGTTTGCAGAGAAGTCAGAGGAGAGGATGCTTCTTGAGGTTCTTCGAGCGGGCAACCTTGCTGGTTGAGCGGACATTGGGGCAGGACCTGCATCGAGCGCCAAGCTCGCCTACAACAAATTGGGACATGCTGCAACTTTGCGACACAACTGTGGATCAACCCATCCAGTATCATCCAGTAGGCCCTTCCCTTGCAGAGTTCCATAAAGCTTGACCAAAAGGGGCACCATCTTATATTCGTGGGCTCTTTGTTTAGTACTTGCAAACTCTTGCGAAATCCTTTTTTGTTCATGATGGCTACAGTTACACACACATATATATATATATCTACATACAGTGTATATATATATATAGTATATATTTGACCAAGCTCGACTGCCCAGCATGTGAAGGGCTTCTGTCAAAAAGATGTGGGGAAATGGCATTCTGACTCGAACTTCGTCCGTGTTTTGGTGCATTCAATTTCCGCCTCGACATTGGTGCATAGAACACATGACAAATTGGTGTTGGATTTAAGCTGCAGCAACATCGGGTGGGGAGGGTCCAACCAAGCGTTTTTCAGCCTGTCGAAATGCAGGAAGCTTGGGATGTCGCGTTGGACTTCAAAAACACCTCCGCTGATGCGCAGACAGAAGGCGGTGGCCAGTTCCTTAGCAATCCAAGGTTCAGTGGAGCTTCTTCGAATGAGATTGATTACGCGTGTATCATTACAGATCATTGTGTATCTAGAGATGTAACGACGCATCTAGTACGCGCTCCCTGGGAGATGCTCGGAGTAGCAATCCAGTGAGCGCCACCGTCCGAATTCGTGCTTTGTGCTTCGTGAGCGCATGATTCGGGACCAACTTTGTGATTTGTCGTGCGCGCTCGCGCGCCGCGCGCGCGCACGCGCTGGCTCGCTCGCTCGCTCTCTCTCTCTCTCTCTCCCCTCCCTCCGAACCCATTGCCATAGCCTTTATTGGCTTTTATCGTCCATCATGATTCAGTTCTTGATGATTGATTCTCGATCCTCCCCTGGCAGGACCACTTGCGCATTGCTAGGATCGCTGGAAACCGTGTTGTGCTGGCACCATCAGGCAAGACCGATATGGGGCCTGACCTAATCAGATGGCTGCTGCCATCCCAAGCCAAGAGAAACGAGCAGTTCAACACAGCGTCGGATCAGCTCGAGGAAAAAAGGAAAAGAATAAGGCCCCACCCCTCTTTAAAGGAGGGGTTCTCATACAAGGAGACCTTACCTCATTTTCCGTTGCCAAGGGGCGGATGCTTTGAAGCACGTCGACGACTATGTGGAGGACACTTGAGCAGGATAAACGCAAGTAGACATAAAACAAGCAACAGTTGATAAACGACACCAACCAATACTACTGTACTCGTGATAGAAGCAGCACGGAATCTACAGCAGTTTGATTTTTTAATTTTGCAGCATGCTCTTGTCACAAGGAGGCTTTTCTTGCACTGAAGCTTGAAGAACCCTCGCTTATGATGATGCCTACCGTCCTTGAGGTTCCCCCTAACACACCCTCACTCGGGGGCACTGTGGGGGCAAATTCAAGTTTGGTACTTGGCTTACAGGAGAAATGGGCCAAGGGCCGCTGCGTGACGGACTTGCGCTTCTCTCCTCATCGGCAGGTTGATGTCCCAGCTTGGTAGTTTTATGCGTCAACAGCAACTGAAAGAGAATGATGAGAAGACAGCTGATGGAACTTGTCACGGTTTGAATGTTGCTATAGTTACTGTAAATGAATTAACTCGATAAATGTTGTCAAACAATGTCAAAGATACAGATCACTCTCATTATGAAGACTGTATTATAACGTATTTTATATATGGAAATTGCTAGGAACACTGCAAGCAAGGATGCAAGCAGCTAAGCTAAGCAAGCTAAGCCCTCCTTGCTTTCTCCACGTTTCGACCTGCCAAGGAGATCTTCATGGCTGCATACCACCAAAAAGCCAATCCGGAGCTATCTGACCCTGATGGCTGCATGTTGGTTTGGTGCGCCACCGAATTTGCAGATGAGCAACAGGCAAAACTGTTCATGTAAGAGTTTACTCTTGGAGGGGTCTTTCCATGATGTAGGTTGCACAACACCCTGTAAAACGATATTGTGAATAGTGAACTGCAAAATCGATAACTTGAACTATGAGATCATGTTCCACCTACAATAAGTTGATGATGATTGCCTCAAGTTCGACAACGCTGCGTGCACGCAACGAAGCTAGTCGACGACAGGCAAGCTGTTTGCACCATTGGCGCGCTACGCGCAAGTACTGTAAGCTATCGTACTGACTGGCTACAGGCAAGTTGTTTACGCCCCGTGGCAGGCTGCACAACGCTCGCTTTATTTCTGCAGCCTCCTGCGCAAGGTTTCCTCACGCGGTGATCCCAGTCGCTGATCGATAACCAAACTGATGACGAAACGATAGCCGCTTGTTGCGCAAAGGCTGCCGTAGTAGTGGTCACCTCCCCACTTAGGTCACGAACATTGATGCCAAAGTTCTTACAAATTCGCGCGGGCCATATGGAAGACAGGTTGGCAATATTCCGCTTGGCAAAGCAGTCAGTGCATCGGTACTGACAAAAATATTTGACGATGAAGTTTCATTCTACAACGGCCAGTGGCAACTGCTAGAGAGGGACCTTTCGGCTGCAACCCTGTAAAGCGGTCAGCGAACTACAAAAACCGATAACCGCATGCAGAAGACCCGTAGTTTGCTTGTGCAGGCTTTGCCGTTCGCTTAGATGTGTCTCCTTATTGTGACGCTTGCTCATCAAGGGAGTTGAGAAAATAGACCCGGCAGTACATACTGTATATACATATGTTTAAGGTAGTTCCCACAGGTTCAGAAATAGCTTGGCCACCACCTGGTAATGTGTTGTTTAACGTGGAGATGCTGCCTCGTCATGATGGCAAAACGTAGGGGGGCTGCGCTAGGTTTGGCGCTAGGTTCAGGTACTTGGGCAAGATTAACAAAAATTATGGCGTGCATACATTGGTAGTTAAACTTTGTGTTTGGACACAGCCATTTTGGCTGTAATTGATGGATGCAAGCAGGAGACACCGACACCCATCCATTGCGAAAAGTGAAGGGTTGGCTGCTGAAGATAACGTTCACACTTTCTGGCCCACACAGACACACCCGCACAGGCCCAAGGGCATGTTCCCATTGCGTTTCGATTCTTTGTGCGTAGAAGAGCTATTTATAACTATTTCAAGTCTGGGAAGCCGGCGCCCGCAAAGCGTGCTCTTGACCACAGCCGTCTGGCAGGGAACGCGCTATTAGATGGGCGCTTGACCCATTTGCAACTTTGACCACTTGCGCAACTGCTTTCCAGGGCGGCTACTCAATAGATTGCCTGCACTGGGGCGATGAGACTGAGTGAGTGAAAAGACGGAAGGGCAGCTGGGGTGGGGGCTTTGTTTGCACGAAAAAAGAACAGTGATAGGAAAATCACCAACCATTTCTTCACAACTTGTTTCTTTCTGGGCGCAAGAGGACTGCTACTTCCAACTTCACATTTGGAACTGTTTGACTTTGTAAGTAAAAACGCAACAATAAAAGGGCACGCACAACATACAACCATATACATGACAGATGTTGTGTACATGAAAACCGACATGGAGTTGGTGTGAACTGAAGCTATGAAAATTATTTTAGAACGGGGTTTGTTATTCAGTTCAAGTGTGACCAGGCACCGAAAAAAATTACCCAAGGGATTTTGTGGCATATTTTGGCGTGAGTTATAAGATGGATGTCTGCCGTGCACTGCACCTTTGTTGGACAATTTTCATGTGACCCAACTGCGTTTTCTTTGTGCGGCGCTGTTGAACTGAGACGACCAGAACTCTGAGATTCCACTGTGTGAGGGCCGTTTCATGGTCGATCGTTTTGGCCAGGAACTTGACCATGAAGAATCGACCAGAAGTGGCATTTTCCGCCCCCAGCGCAACTGAACTGCAATTTGTTAGTGGGTTAAGCGAAGAATCCGTTGGCGAAGACGATAAAATGTTTCTTCAAACAACATTAGGTGGTAAACTGTTTGTTAGATGATCTGGTTTTTGGTTCCACTTAACAATCCCTCAGCCTCATGTCCTGCTTGTATGTTAGGAAGATGTCGCTTGGCAACCACACACGTTGGCGCCACCATCTCGCTACTGAATCAGGGGACTTTGCTGGCATTCGGCCTTGAATACACTTATGATGTACGCTAAAGCTAGTTCTGATGACACAGCAAAACATAAAAAATGCATAAACAATGCAAAAATAATGCAAAACCAATCCCGAAAAAAATGCACAGACAACGCAAAAACAAGTCACCAAAGGATGCCTTGGAATGCAAAAAAACAAAAAATGCGAAACAAACGCATTTGTCCACTAAACCAATGCAAAAAACGCACAAAAAATGCACAAAAAAGGCACAAAAAATGCAAACACAATGCACAAAAAATGCAAACAAAATGCAATCAAAAAACAAAACGAATGCGATCAAAAACGTTCTGGTCTTTGCCTTTGCATTTTTTTTGCTTTGTATTTGCGTTTTTTGCGATTTTTTTGCATTTTTTTGTGCGTTTCCTTGAGAAAACGCAAAAAAATCGACAAAAAACGCACAAAAAAAACAAAAGAATGCAAAACAAAACGCACAAAAAATGCAAAAAAAATGCAAAAAAATCGCACAAAAAAGGTGGTATGTGAAATTTGGTTGTGCATGTGCATTTTTTTTTGCATTGTTTTTGTTTTTTTGAACTGCTGTTCTGTTTTTTTTTTCTGGTTTCCTTTTGCATTTTTTTTGCTTTTTGATATGCACTCTTTTTGACCAGCTGCCTTTTGTTTGTTTTTTTTATGCATTTCTTTTGCATTTCCTGGTCATCCTTTGTGAGTGTGGTTTTGCAATTTTTTTGTTTTTTTTATGAATCCTTGAGATTTCAGAGTTAGGCTGTAAGGTACATCATAAGAATACACTATTTGTCCTTCTGCTCAATGACAAATTTGCACCAATCTGGTTTTCATGTTTTCCTGATGCTTCCAAGGCAGTACTGACAGCCTTCTCCTCAGCCTTCTCGGCGGGACCGCTGTGTTCCAATCCTCAAGCGACAGTTTGATGATTAATTGAATCGTGAAGGCAATGTTGTGATTTTTTGGTGCAGGAGTTGGTCGTTTGAGATCTCAAATTCAAAGCAACACTTTTTGTTATTATATAATACATCTATATAATATCACATTCTCATATAATTCTACATTTATGCATAGTGTGTGAGGATAACCAGTTTCCCATCAATGCATGCTCAGTCATGCATAAATGCAAAGTGAGTCTTAGATCAGAGCCAAGAGCAAGGACTGACCTAAGGCTAGGATGAGTTCACAGAAGGCCAAAAAGGTGAATTGCCAATTGCAAACAGCGCAACATCTCTTGTTTTTTTTGTATGTCACATTATATTCCTTGGTACTTTTGCTTGTTGTGCTCCCAGCTCACAACAAGTTCAGAAGATTCCAGGCTCTAGCCCTTGTGGTCCAACATCCAGGTCAAATTCCCGACATGGTGTGGGTCACAAACATGGAGAAAACAATCGGTTGATGTTTGGGAAAACCATGACGAACTAGTAAACAAGGAGCTCCTAGGAGCAAGCCATGCGTGATCCATCCGTCGACGCCTCGGAGCCAAAAAGCTTGCCTGGAAGAATGCCTCGTGCTGAGGCGATCCCTCACCGCTTCGATCCAGCATTGTTCTATGGAGGCAAAACCGCTACGAAAGGAGCAAGGACGCTACTAGTAACACAGGGCATCGCTACTAGCTCCTCCTTCGGCCGATCATGCCGAGTCTCACGCCGAGAAATTCACGCCGAACGCTTCCGCACGAAAAAGATCACGCTCCCGCTAACTCTTCTTTCTCGGGTCCGTTGGGGGGTGTTCTGGGGGACGGGGCGTTGTTCTTTTAAAAGAAAAACCACACCGGCCGGGGGCTGCTGCTGGTGCCGAAGTGGTACTGCAATGTACTGCAGTGGGATTTTGGGTGCCAGATGATGTACCAAGCCCATACCTTATTGGGGTGCTTGTTGAACTCTTTGCAACCAACAGGACCCCTCACAATCCTGTTGTGGAGATGACCACCCCTGTGAGAGGCTTTGGGATTTCTTGGTTTAGTTTCGATATGTTTTGATTTTGATTCAAGCCAAAATCTTGGATTCGATTCCTGATCTACCAGTGAACCATCGGACCTTCACTTAGCAGTGATTTTTCGGACCTGCTCGCGGCAGTTGTCTCAACCACCCGTTTCCGACAGGATGTCCAGCTGTGCGGCACCGGCCTCGCGAGTCGTTGCGACTCGCCCGATGTTCTGCAATTCGTTGGTCCGAGAGGTACCTACTCAGGGGCGATACTCCTGTGGGACACAAGGCAGAAGGCCTCGACAAGATCGACCGGTCCAACTTAGCCATTGAAGCGTGCCAGTCTTGGCTGTTTGCTTTTATATAATTGTTTTGGTTTTGTGCTTGGAGATCAGACTGCTCTTACAACTTGACAGCTCGAAGACTGTTTTGCGAATCGCCAAAACATGGTTGATATTATGCTCACTGTTGTTTGCCATCCAGCACCTCATATTTGTTTGTATGTTGCAGTCATGGACAACAGCTAGTTTTGCAGCATATTTTAGTGTTTTGGATGTTTGTTGCAGGCAGGGCCAGTCCTCAAGACACCGCTGAGCGGCAAAGGTGAGGGCGTCCCACAAAGACTGCTGATTACCGAAAGTATAATGTGTCTGTTTATATATAATGTGTTCTTGTGTTTTCTTGCCTAGTTTACCTGGTTGCCGGTTGACTCATGGAAGACTCAGAGAGTTCAGTGTGCAAGCCGAGATGAAGGGGGATGAAGACCAAGATCGGTTCTCAGGTCACGCTCATCCAGTGTCTGCTATGGAACAAGTGGGTACCCAGAATGCCACCAATCTGGCCGCGCTCTAAGAGCCTCAGCGACCGGGTGGAACGGCACGAACCGACTCCACGACCCATGCGCAGTGACCATGCAAAGGTGACGGCCTCAAATGATGGCCGTTTGTGTGTATGGTCTTTGGCTATGCTGAACGTCCCGCAGGAGCAGTTTCTCATAGTTTGCAAGGCTGCAAGGTTGTTCAAGTTCTGCTGTAGCTATGTCCTGTAGGGGCCTTCCTTGGAAGTTGTTTGAGCACCTTAAATCTTTCAGGAGACCTTTGATCTCAAGAACGAGAGCAAAGCAGGTCGGCGGGAGCCTTCAGTTTGGCACCTAGCACAGCAGGACAGCAGCACAGCAACCCAGCCGCATGCTGCAACTTTGGGAATATCAAGAGTTGGCTGATGATGACTAAAAGACTACCGTAAACCAGACTGACTCAGTCTGATGAAGACCATTGAAGAAACATGAAGAGGCATGTTTCGCCGTGGGCGATTGGTCAGAGTATTCCGCAAGGTCATGTCATTCTCCTTTCCAGAGAACGAGACAAATATCCTTTATGTGGGCTCCGAGGACCAAACAGTTTTTTTTCTTTTTTCGCTTTCCGCCAAGGGAAACAGACGTGACCGAACGAAGAACTCTCGCCTCGAAAGTCGCTTGAAACACTCTCCCCCTTCATAAGCTGGGAGGATGAGACTGAGACATAGGACCACTGGAACATGAACAAATCGTCTTTGGAGATTGCTTTCACCACACGGAGACAGATTGCGTGTCACCAGACCTGGACCTGGTGCCAATCACCCAACGAAATCCTGGGGCCTAGCAGGGCGTTGCTGGCCTTGCCTGATGGTCAAACAGAACGTCAAGAAAGGGGTCAGAACAGAACGCCTGCCTCGGGAGCCTGAGTTTCTGCTATCACGAAGGATCTCGACAGAAGCAGATGCTATTTTTTCACGCATGGTCACGAGCAAGCCCAAATCGTTCCATTGGGAAAGACATGCTTATTGTAAATTGTTATAAGTTATATGTGTAGAACCACTGAGCACAATCACTTTCTGCCTACCCTCATGCATACACCTTGAGGGCTGTGCTTTCTTACATACTTTTTTTTTCAGAATAAACCATTGTCGGGAGTCGGGAATCCCTTGGCCCTTGGCCAAGCTTTAAGTACTTCACTCATCTTCACTCTTTGTTTTCGGCTCGGCTTGTTCCCGCCTCATCAGTCATGAAGATCACCAGGACGGTGCCATGTGGCAAGTGAACCTCCGTGGCAGCAAGCCTGGTATTGCTGAGCTCTACGAGGGCCATGATGGACCGGTCCCGTAGGGCGGGGGCCATTGGCTCCGAGCGTTGTGAGGCTTTGAGGCTTGGTGTGGACTGAAGCTTTACATTCTGCATATCTCCACACCAAGGATATATAAGGATATCATCTCAAACACAGATTTCGGGGCGTTCCAATCTGTAGAATTCCTTCTGAATGATGTGTGATTCTTTGGAAGTTCCAGTTCCACCATCGAAATGGAACATGTTGATTGGGGGTGTGGGCTGTTTAAGAAAGGGCACTTTGGAGACTGACCAAGAAGACGTCGCAACCAGATGGCACAGACAAGGGCTTAAACCACTCCCTCAAGAATGACTCGGTTCATTTGGCTTCCAACCCATGAAGCAATGATGCTTCAGGGAAGTCACCTAATGTCACCTAGGTCTATCAAGTATGATCCAAGTCGCTCCCTCTCAGGATCTAAGTCGAGATTAGTTGGACCTGTCACCTCTCGGCTTTCCGACCCACCTCCTGTGATCTTGCAGGACCTGTCACTGGTGTTCACATGCATCCACACCAAGGCAGCTGGTCTGATGTTAGAACTCGTTCATCGGCGTTCACCGTCACATCCCGTCAGACGCCCCTTGGTACCTCCATCTACCTCCCAATTATTATCCCAAGCAGAGTGTTGGTGGCGTTGCCATCAAAGGGCATGGCATAAATGATGCAAACAGGTGGAAAGTTCGGTTCACGCAGACCATCTTCCAGGGAAGGACCATCTGATAATCTCAGACCCACTAGATCAATTACATTCAATTACCTTGGCCTTTTTGCATTTTGGTTGTCACCGTGGAAAGATGTGGAAAGTCCCAAGACTTCGTCCGCTTCTCAATCAATTAACGCCCACCGCGCTCGCCCACCGGTGTCGCGACCGGCCGACACCGACCTGACTCAGGGAGCGACTCGGGCATCTCCTCGGACACCACGACGGAGAAGCGGAGGGCATGACTCTGAAAAAAGGGTGGTGAATATGATGGATGTATGGTGGAAGTAATTTTTCACTATTTTTCAATGCCTAGGATTGATGTTGTGTCCAAATAGACTATTATAGCATAGCATCGTATAGCATCGGAACTAGCCGATTCCTTCAACATCGAGCTTTTGGTGGAGGATCTTTGCCTCACCAGTTCCTTTGATTGGAGCATCAAACTTTGGAGGGTCCGGGCACCTACTTTCTCGGTTTGGTTTGGTTGCTTGATCGCCTCTACTTAAATTTGAAGTACTGTTTATGCGGTAACCGAAGGATAACTCAACCCAAGAGGGCTGATTCAACGAGGGTCGCTCTGTGATGGGCTCGCAAGAGATCTGCAAAAATTAAAACATTCTCCCCAAGAGTTAGGCTATGGGTGTGTGTATATTGCGTGTACTAAAATAGGGAGACCCTGTCAAAGAATCCGTAGAAGAAGGACAATAGGCCGTTGCTTTAGTTGAAACTTAAAACTTTAAAACTGTATGGAGGGCCGACCTGAGGTGAAGCAGTTTCAGTCTCCTGTGCTCACCCTGGACACCTTTGAGGACTATGTGACTTGGCAGAGCAATGCACTGACCATTACCAAGGGCCCATAGACGTTCTCACAAGGCTTGAGGAGCAGCTATTGTCCGAGATAGTACCCTCAAAGAAAAACACAGAGCTGAATGCGGGTTCCGCTGAGGTCTATGATGCTCGCTGGCATCCCACTCATCCAGCCGTTTTCGCATCAACTGATGGTGAAGGGCGCGATGCTCAGGCGGCTAAGAAGTTCGGTGCAGCGCACAACTCCTTTCCACACACTCAAAGCGTGTCACTCTGTCACGCGTTTGAAGATGTGCGAAGCAAGGCATGTGGACCTGTGGAACTTGAACAGAAACATGGAGTTGGGAGCCTCAAACAGCTTTGAGCGGATGATGGCATCATATATGCCTTCCATGTAAAGATTTTAGAGTAAAGACAGTAAAGAGGTCATAGATAGACAGTGACATGCCAGTACATTTTTTAGAGGGACGATACAGGTCTATCTATTAGGTCACTAAACAGATCAAGCACATTCAAGCACGTTGTTGACGCTTTCTCAAAGTTTTTAACAGATCACGGAGGACCCTTTTGTTCCTCACCTAGTTGTTTATTTATGAGGCTTACGCCTGACAGCCGGGCGCCGGCCTAGTATGTGCAGGGCTGGTTCCCCGCTCTCTCTCTGTCTCTCTGTCTCTCTCCCTCTCTCTCTCTCTCTCTCCCTCTCTCTCTCTCTTTCTCTCTCTCTCTGTCTCTCTCTCTCTCTCTGTCTCTCTCTCTCTCTCTCTTTGAGACTTGGTGGGGCCTATATTGAGCAAAGTTAAGCTATCTGGTGCGCATCTTGGCCCTAGGTTGGGCCAAGTTGCGCCCATGTGGTCTATGTTGGGCACATCTTGGGCCCAAGTTGAGCCTATGTTGGGCCTAGGTTGGCCTATGTTAGGCCTATGTTGGCCTAGGTTGGGCCTATGTTGGGCCTTTGTTGGCCCCATGTTGGCCTATGTTGGCCCTATGTTGAGCCATCTTGGAGGCTATGTTGGGCATATGTTGGGGATATGTTGGCTATCTTGGGCCTATGTTAGGGATATGTTAGGCAATTTATGTGCCCAACACCCACGAAATGTCGATTAAGCCTGTCCGCGCGGCACGCATAACTGACACCACGGGCACCCTGTCGTGGACGCCGAAGGCCACGAAACACTGTAAAAAACGATGTTTTTGAACATTTTTCGAACATCCAGCGCAAGATACATATAAATCTGTCGGGCGGATTTGG